GCATGCAGGGGGTGGGTGGAGGCTGGGGGAGAGCATGCAGGGGTGGGTGGGGCTGGGGGAGAGCATGCAGGGTGGGTGGAGGCTGGAGGAGAGCATGCAGGGGGTGGGTGGGGGCTGGGGGAGAGCATGCAGGGGGTGGGTGGGGCTGGGGGAGAGCATGCAGGGGGTGGGTGGGGCTGGGGGAGAGCATTCAGGGTGGGTGGGGACTGGGGGAGAGCATACAGGGGGTGGGTGGGGCTGAGGGTAAGCATGCAGGGTGGGTGGGGCTGGGGGAGAGCATGCAGGGGGTGGGTGGGGGCTGGGGGAGAGCATACAGGGGGTGGGTGGGGCTGGGGGAGAGCATGCAGGGGGGTGGAGGCTGGGGGAGAGCATGCAGGGTGGGTGGAGGCTGGAGGAGAGCATGCAGGGGGTAAGTGGGGGCTGGGAGAGAGCATGCAGGGTGGGTAGAGGCTGGGGGAGAACATGCAGGGGGTGGGTGGAGGCTGAGGCAGAGCATGCAGGGGGTGGGTGGGGCTGGAGGAGAGCATGCAGGGGGGTGGAGGCTGGGGGAGAGCATGCAGGGTGGGTGGAGGCTGGGGGAGAGCATGCAGGGTGGGTGAAGGCTGGGGGAGAGCATGCAGGGGGTGGGTGAGGGCTGGGGGAGAGCATGCAGGGTGGGTGGAGGCTGGGGGAGAGCATGCAGGGTGGGTGAAGGCTGGGTGAGCATGCAGGGTAGGTGAAAGCAGGATAGTGCAAGGGATGGATGAAGGTGTCCTGGAGGCTTCAAAGGCCCTGGGTGTGTCTGAGCTTAGAAGCTTCTGGCAGCAGTGGAGGTCCTGGGTGTGTGGGAGAGACACGCTGCACTGGATGTCCCAGTGTCAGCACTAAGGGACCGTTGGGTTTTCTAACAGACAAGTTAGACCAAGGGATTTCGTACTGAAAGGAGGAAATGGTCTGCTGCAGGAACGGCTGGAACCAGGAACAGACACCACTTCCCAGCACTCCCTGAGTGTTGTGTGGACGCCGATCTGCCTAAGGCTCCCCTGGCTGGGCTGGGGAGGACAGCAAGACTCCCTCTGAGACCCTGTGCTGAGCTGCACCCCTCCATCAAGATAGATGTGGCCCAGGGCCAAGGCTTCTAAGTATGGCATCCTCTACCTCACAGGGGAGGCAGAGCAAAGGGCGAGAATGAGTGTGGCACAAGAGGGGGGCTACACACGACCTGTGCACACCCAGAGGGAGGCTACACACGACCTGTGCACACCAAGAGGGAGAGGCTGCACACGACCTGTGCACACCAAGAGGGAGAGGCTACACACGACCTGTGCACACCAAGAGGGAGAGGCTGCACACGACCTGTGCACACCAAGAGGGAGAGGCTGCACACGACCTGTGCACACCAAAAGGGAGAGGCTACACACGACCTGTGCACACCCAGAGGGGGAGGCTACACACGACCTGTGCACACCAAGAGGGAGAGGCTGCACACGACCTGTGCACACCAAGAGGGAGAGGCTGCACACGACCTGTGCACACCCAGAGGGGGAGGCTACACACGACCTGTGCACACCAAGAGGGAGAGGCTGCACACGACCTGTGCACACCCAGAGGGGGAGGCTACACACGACCTGTGCACACCAAGAGGGGGAGGCTACACACGACCTGTGCACACCCAGAGGGGGAGGCTACACCACAGGACCTGTGCACACCAAGAGGGGGAGGCTACACCACACGACCTGTGCACACCAAGAGGGGGAGGCTGCACACGACCTGTGCACACCCAGAGGGGGAGGCTACACACGACCTGTGCACACCAAGAGGGAGAGGCTACACACGACCTGTGCACACCCAGAGGGGGAGGCTACACACGACCTGTGCACACCCAGAGGGGGAGGCTACACACGACCTGTGCACACCAAGAGGGAGAGGCTGCACACGACCTGTGCACACCAAGAGGGAGAGGCTGCACACGACCTGTGCACACCAAGAGGGAGAGGCTGCACACGACCTGTGCACACCAAGAGGGAGAGGCTACACACGACCTGTGCACACCCAGAGGGGGAGGCTACACACGACCTGTGCACACCAAGAGGGAGAGGCTACACACGACCTGTGCACACCCAGAGGGGGAGGCTACACACGACCTGTGCACACCAAGAGGCACTCGGTTCCACTCTGGAGCAGCCTTCCTGGCTGGCTGACTCTCCCTTTTCAGCCTCCATCTTCAAAGTGCCCCTGGCTCTCCTCACGCACTCAGAAAGAACCCCGAGGTGGTGGAGTGTGTCACAGGGACTGTGTCCCATCTACCCCCTCCCAAGCATCTGATGAATCACTTCACCACAGCCATGTCTGGCACAGTGTAAGTAATCTCTGCCTGCTGACTGGCCAAGGCCAGTTGATTGACACATGGGCCAGCTAATCACTCCCACAGGGCCAAGGATGAAGGAGCAGGACCAATTTGCTCTTAGGAAGTTCAGCTACAAGAGGGAAGATTCTAGAAAGGTCAGATGGACTTGGTAGACCTTGAGAGAGAAGAGGGTGTGCCAACAGCCCTGCCCACTCAGGCTGCTGTGACCGAACACCCTGGGCTGGATGGTTTATAATGGCAAGACAGTTTGCTTGCAGTGTGTGAATCCTGGAGGGCTAAGGTCACACTGGCACGTCTGGGTCTAGTGAGGCACTCTCTTCAAAGAATGATGGCATAGTGGAAGGAGAGAGGGGACTAGCAAGCCTCTCAGCCTAAGGGTGTGGTTCTCAACATGTGGGTCATGACCCTTTGGGGAGTCCTATATAAGATACCCTACATATCAGATATTTACGTTATGGTTCGGAACAGTAGCAACATTACAGTTATGAAATAGCAATGAAGTAATTTTATGGTTGGGGGTCACCACAGCATAAGGAACTGTATCAAATGGTAGCAGCACTAAGAAGATTGAGAACCACTGGTGTAGGGCATTAACCTGGTGTTGGGTCCTAGCCTCTCAGTGGGCTTGCCCTCGGGACTCAGTTTCAGCAGAGGCTCCGGAGGAACACGAATGTTTGGATCGCAGCCAACTGCCATGGTGGAAAACATCTCAGCTCAGGAGCCAATGAGGAGAGCTGCTGGGCTGTGGGCTGCTTGCGCACACCCCAGCTGCCCATATCCTGGAGGCACACACCAGGGGCCACTCTTTGCCCATCTGTCCTGGCCAGACTGGCCTCAAAGACCGGCAGTGCTGGCCACATCAGCCAATGTGTTATTCAGCTGGGTGGATGGGACAAATACCCAAGAGATTTCATACTGAAAGGGGGAAGTGGTCTGCGGGCAGTGAAGCTGGCCTGGCTTGCATGAAGCCCAGTATACATGAACATGGTAGCACATGCCTGTAATCCCACTACTGGAAGGTGAAGGCAGGAGGATCAGAAGTTCAAAGGCATGCTTGGCTATGTAGGGAGTTCAAGGCCAGCATGGGATATGTAAGACCCTGTCCCAAACCAACAAACAAACAGTATGTTCCCTTTAGGTCTAGTTTAATCCAAATAAATTTTTAAAAACTTTTAAGGGAAAAGTTTATTTTCTTCTTCTTTCTCCTTCTCTTCTTTTTTGAGACACGGTCTCTCTACATAGCCCTGGCTGGCCTGGAAATTGCTATGTAGACCAGGCTGGTCTTGAACTCACAGAGATGTACTTACCTCTGCCTCCTAGGTGCTGGGATTAAAGGCATGTATTATCTCCTGGTATATATATACATATTTATGTTATGTATATATATACACATACATGAAACATGTATTTTACTTTTTGTTTATGTCTCTCTCTGTGTATATGTACATACATCTAGGTGCCTGTGGAGGACAGATAAGGGCATTAGATCCCCTGGAACTGGAGTTATGAGCCATTGTGAGTCACCTGTCGTGTGTGCTAGGAACCAAACACAGGTCCTCTGCAAGAGCAGCAGGTGCTCTCAACCACTGAGCCATCTCTCCTAATTTATTTTATTTATTTTGTTGGGGTGGGAGGTTGTGGGGCATTGTGCTCCAGGCACACTCTGGAGGTCGGAGGACAGCTGGCATACCTGTGTCTTCTCTTTCCATGGTGTGGTTCTAGGAATTCCAACCTGGGTCATGAGGCATGGACACAAGCCTCTCTTGGACTGAGCCATCTCACCTGCCCCTGGTTTAATTCTTGAACTCAGTTTTCTGAGTGACTTAGATGCTCTCTGGTCAAATGAGACACTAGCTGTGGGAGGTGCTGATTTTATGTTTTCTTTTCATCTGGGGCGTTTATGCACTGTATGTGGTGCTGGGTTTTGGAGGTACACTTTTGTACATACATACAGCCCTCCCTCCCCCTGTTTCCTCTGTCCTCCCGTCTGTCCCTTTCATCCCCTGCTGGCTTTACCTCTACTTTGATGTCACATCAATGTGTGTGATTCTACAAATCTATGCAAAATCTGGGAGCCACAAATGTGGTATTGTGTTTCCCAAAATATTGTGTACCTTAATAAACTTATCTGGGGTCAGAGAACAGAAAAGCCACTAGTTAGGCAGTGATAGCACACACCTTTAATCCTAGCATTCCAGAGGCAGAAATCCATGAGTTCAAGGATACAGACAGGCATGGTGACTCATCACGCCTTTAATCCCAGAAAGCAAGTCTTTAATCCCAGGGAGTGGTGGTAGAAAGCAGAAAGGTATATAAGGCGTGAGGACCAGAAACTAGAGGCATTTGGCTGGTTAAGCTTTCAGGCTTTGGAGCAACACAGTTCAGCTGAGATTCATTTTGGATGAGGACTCAGAGGCTTCCAGTCTGAGGAAACAGGACCAGCTGAGGAATTGGCAAGGTGAGATAGCTGTGGCTTATTCTGTCTCTCTGATCTACCAGCATTTACCCCAATAACTGGCCTCAGGTTTGATTTTATTAATAAGAACTTTTAAGATTCATGCTACACACAAATGAGAGAAAACATGATATTTTAATTTCCTGAGATGGCTTCATTCACTTAGCATGGTGGTCTCTGGTTACACCCACTTTCCAGCACATGACACATTCTCTCATTTTTTTATGTGACTATGTGAATACTCCGAATTTCCTCTACCCATCCTCTATTGATGGACAGCAAGGTTGGTTTCATTTCTCAACTTCTGTGAACAGAGCACAGTCAACAGAGATGTGCAGATATCTGTGTGCTATGTTGACTTGTCCCTTGTGGTGAACACTCAGAAGTGGTAGAGCTGGCTCACATGATTGATTGATTGATCTTGAGGCAGGAAAGGTTGGTTTGGTTCATGGTGGCAATGGTGTCAGCCCACGGTCCCAAGGCTCCATTGCTTTCTGGTCTGTGGCAAGGCAGAGGAGGGGCGCTTACCTCAGGGCAGGGAGGAAGAAGAAATGGATAGAGAGAGAGAGGAAGGGGCATGGCCAAGGCTGGGGCTGTGGCTTCGTGGGTAGAGCACTTGTGTACATGCATGAACTTCCATCCTTAGCTTCTCATAAACTGGATGTGGTGGTACCCACCCATTATCCCAGTGCTCAGAAAGTGGAGGTGAGCAGATTAGAAGTTCAAGGTCACCCTTAGCTACATAGTGACTCAAAGCCAGTCTGGACTATATGAGACCCTGATGTCTTCAGGGACTCCTTTCCTTCATCCTCCCAAAGTCTCTACTCCCAATAATGTCATCAGACAGCAAATCCTTCTAGAGACCAGTGTATGGATGATCTCAGGGCCCTCAGGATCCTGTCACTTCATAATGGTCAGTCTCAGTCTGGGACCAAGCTGTCAATACCTGTCAATACATCACATCCAAATCACAAAAAAGTCTAGTCCAAGCCCTGTGTGCAGCCACAAGAAGCCCACCAAGGCTGCTTGCCTGTGCCTTCTCCACCTGTCTCTTCTCACGTCACTCCTGAGTCTGGCAGCTCCCTGTGTCGGAGATTCCATCTGCCCTAAGCACAGTTCCTGTGGTCTCGGGGCCACTGCCTCCCAGAGTCATAGTTCCCAGCTCAGAGGTGAGCAGCATGGAGTTGCTGGAGGTGTGGGAGCAGCTTCCACGTGGCATGGCTTTGGAACTTGAGTCTAGAGGGAAGGGAGAAATGGATAGTGAAGGAGCAAGTGAGGTCTCAGGCCACTGTGCTGTTTAGTTCACTGGGGGCTGCAGGTATCCACAGACTGCTCCGGAGTCTATGCCCCCCAACCACTGTGGTGGGTTTCTGCCTCCCCCCTGTGCCCTATGACTTTGTTCCCAAGAGTCCTCAGGGAGACTTAAGCTCCCCCCAGCACATACATTTATTTATTTATTTGTTTGTTTGTTTGTTTGTGGGGGGGCATCAGATGACAATGGATGGGAATTGGTTCTCTCCGTCAATCATGTGGGTCCTGGGCATCAAACTCAGGTCTTCAGACTTGGCAGTAAATGCCCTTACCCACTGAGCCATCTCGCTGGCCCAGGGGAACTTCAATACTACGTCACATGCCTCTGTTCATACTCTCCAGTTCATTTCAAGTAAGATGGAGACACTTTACACATGCCTTCAGGCTCTGAAAGATCCGACAGGCACCCACCCAGGCTTTGGGCTCCTGGATGTCAATCCCTCTTGTTTCTCAAGCTCCTGTGCCTTGTACTGCTCTCACTTCCCACTTCAGGGCCTTGGCACCTGCTGAGTCCACACTTGCGAATCCCTCCTGGACTGTGTCTGTTGGCAGGTCCCTGTTGATTTCCTACTTCAGTTCTCTGCCAAGCCCCCTTGACTGCAGGACTCATGCCTCTCCTCTCTGGGAGCAGCCATGACTTATCCATCCTAAAGGGCTCCTTGCCTGGGACTGGTGACCATGGCCCACAGCTATGGCCTGTTCTCACTGTGTGAGCCATACGGCACTCCACCACCAGGATAGGGAGGACGGTCCACTTGACATCCAGACATCCTGGTCCCTTCGTGCTGATTCTAACTATCCACTCGTGGGACTGCTCATGTACAATTCTCTTACTCAAAATCCCAGAACTCTCTGCTTCTGTCCTGCCCAAAGCCCTCTGTGGCTCCTCCTTACCTTGATGTAAATGCCTGCATCCTCCCTGCAGCCTGGAGTCCCAGACCAGTGTGTCCTTGTTCCAGACCATTGCCTGATGGTTGACCGCAGGATGACTGTATGAGGTGGGCACTCACACCTTCTGTGCCCAGGCTCACCTGTGTCTCCTTTCAGCTCTTTGCTGTCTCCAGACTCTGTGACTCCACCTTCTGACCTAGTGTGGATGGTCATCTTGTTGCTGTTGCCGATGGTGGCATCCTCCAGCAGGCAGGATTTGATGTGGACTCTCTGGGCTGTGTTCCCCTCAGGGTGAGCACCTGGCTCAGGTGTTTGCATGGTGAATGAAGTTCCTGGGTCAGCAGTGGTGGCTGAGACTGCGAGTTACCGAAGAGAAAAGGGAGGAGAAGCCAGCATTGTACAGGGACCTGGTCCTGACATCAAACCTGTCCGTCCCACCCTCAGGGCTGGCTCTCACCAGTGACCTTGCAGATCTGGCCCATAGCCTTTGTCCAGCCACCTCACCTCCACATCCTGGCACATGTTCTCGCTGGCCTGCAACACCACCTTGCCCTGCCCCTGAGCTCACCAAAACCACTCTGGCCTCAGCGTCTTCTTCTGGGTCTCCGGGGCCCTCCCTCTTGTCTGTGGCCAGTTCCCAGGTAGACGTCAAGGACATGTTATCCTGCTACAGTTCATTCCTTTCCTCCCCCGTCTCACCTCAGCATCCACTGGACCCTGGTGTCTCCTCTTCACTTTCACACTCAAAGGTCAGAAAATGTCCATGCTCAGCTTTCCCATCCCCTACCTGTAGGCTCCCTGAACTCCTAGAAACTGTCACAGAAGGCCACCACAGAGCCCTTTTTGCTGATCCCCCTGCTGCACCCCGCCTCACTGTTCTCTATGGAGATGCTCCTCTCTGGTTCTCTTGGTCCTCCTGAGACCTCTGATCATCTAAGAATCTGCAGTTCCTGGCAGGCCTCTGGCCAGGTCCTCAAGTCACTGTGCCATTCACTGATGGCCTCTTTCTCCATTTCCCCAGGCCACTACCCAGGCTCTAGCCTGCCCCTGTGACCTTGCTTCCTCCCACTCAACCTTCCCTCTGCAGGTGATGATTGAGACTTGCTGCACCCGGGTGCTGGGAGACTGAGGATGCTGAGTGCCAGATCTAAAAGCTCAACACGCTGTTCAGTGGTACCCCTCCCATGGGTCAGGGTAGAATGAATTTCCCATCATGCTTCTTTTCTCACAAAGAGTCTGGCTTCAGGTCCTTTCTGAATATGTGGGGTGGTGGAGGTCATGATACCTGGGGGGCTGCCAGTAAAGCTATAAGCAGGGTGTTCCACTGGCTCCCTCAGGACACTCATTTCATTGCCGTGGCCCAGCTGCACACGTCGGAGCATGGACTTCTCCATGTGGATGTGCTGATCTCCCCAGGCACCAGGTCGGGGGTCCTGAGAAGAGGGGTCCTCTGATACAGGTAGAGGGAGAGGATGGTAGGGCCTGGGACCTGGGAAGGGCAGAGCATTAAGGATTTGCCAGAGATGACTCCAGATTGTTCTGTCCCAAGGCTGGGGGACTCAGAGGCAGCTGGAGTTGGGCAGTCTGCTGCATTCTCAGCTAAGCCTACAGTATTGTTGGGGTACCTGCAGATCTAGGGAGCACACGCCACCTGCCTCCTGGCTCTCCTCAACCTTTGACTCCCATCAAAAGAAAGTCCGTTGTGTGGGAACAAGTCCTCCATGCCTCTTGACAAGACAGCTCGGGTCTTTGCCCTGCCTTTATTTCCTTGATGCTCATTTTCAGACTCACTTTTTTTTTTTCGAGACAGGGTTTCTCTGTGTAGTTTTGGTGCCTGTCCTGGATCTCTCTCTGTAGACCAGGCTGGCCTCGAACTCACAGAGATCCACCTAGCTCTGCCTCCCAAGTGCTGGGATTAAAGGCGTGCGCCACCGCCGCCCGGCTTAGACTAACTTTTTATGATTTTCAAATTAAAAGAATGCAAAAACTTTCAAACTCATTTAAGTCTGAAAAAATGGTGAGTCACTTAACATCCATAAGTAAAATAGCCAGATAGGATGGCTGTCAGAACTAAGAGCATCATGGTTGGGGAAACAGAGGCCTGGGGTAGAACAGATTTCTCCCAAGGGCATGGCGAGAATCTGGGCTTGGAGCTGATGCTCTTGTGCCTGGGTGACAGGGCTGGAGTGTGACGTGGCCCCACACCCTCTAAGCTACAATGACTATTACAGAGGAAACACTTGCTGGACAGCACCAACCTTTGTCAAAACCAGGTTGCTAAGACTGGGGGATGGCTGGGAATGGGTAAGAGCATTGCCATGCAAGCATGAGGACCTGAGCTTGGATCTAAGCACCCACATGAAGAGTCAGGCATGGCCACATGCACCTGTACCTCTAGTGCTGGATGACACTGAGACAGGGGGATCGCTGGGGCTTACTGGCTGCAAAGCTTGCTCTAGGTTCAGTGTGACACCCTATGGGGGGGGGGGATACGATGGGAATGACAGAACAGGACACCTGACGTCTTCCTCTGGTTCTGAATGGACTTCAGTAAACACACACACACAGACACACACACAGACACACACACACACACACACACACACACACACACACAGACACACACACACGGGGGGGGGGGTGGACAGAGAGGGAGAGAGAGAGGTGGGGGGGAAGCTACTGAGTGCATGATGATCCCAATTTTTCATGGCAACAGTTTGAGAGAGAGAGAAATGTGTTCAGAGCAGAGAACGGAAGTTGCATGCTCACCATGTCCTGCTGAGAGACGGGGCTGAATTGTCCTCACACAGACAGACTGGATCTCATTGAGAAGGGAAAAATAAAGGAGGTGTAGGTGAGGAATGATCCAGGCTTCTCATTCTGAGAAAAGCCATGCCTAAATCCATGCAGATGAGGAGGTTGCTCTTTCTCCTTGAAGGATCAAGCCCCCCTCACTTTCTTCCCCCACTCAGGCACAGCAGGTGTCCCGGCCAGGCCCCTCCTCTTACCCCTTTGATCACAGTCTATCTGTCTTAGCATGGCATTCCCATGCCCAATCTGGATGGCTTCTGAATTGGCGATGGAGATGTGGTTGTTGGTTCCCTGCTGGCAGATCATGTTGACTGGATTCTGCTGGTAAATAATTGCAGTGGACTCTTGTCTCACTCCAGAACGAGCTACAGAATAATATTCCGTTGAGTTTCTTTGTTTCAAGGACACAGGGGCTCTTACATGAACAGCACTAAACTTCCCTGGGGACTTGCCACAGCATGAATCAGACCCCATCCTAGGGTCCAAGAAAGAAGGTGCAGGGTAAGATTCAGGAGTTCCCTGGAGCTGGCCACAGCCTTCCTTCCCTGTGTTTGATGGATACCATGGCACCTCAGATGGAGCCTCTCCTGATATCCTGCAGCAGGTGCCTTACCTGTGTGTCCTAGCCACAATGGCTCACTGGGAGGACAATGGATACTCCCACTCTCTCCCTCTCCTGCCCCTGCTGCCAGAGCCTGCCAGAGCCCTCAGTGCTGAGCCCCAGGCTCCTCTCACTTCAGCAATGGCCAGAAGAGGCCATATGTTTTGTTGGGCTCTATTGACATTATTAAAGGCTTAGCTATGTCCCCGTGTTTAAAATCTGGCTGCCATCCACACTGTTACTCTTCTTCTACTAGCTGAGAACAGAGAGAGAGAGAGAGAGAGAGAGAGAGAGAGAGAGAGAGAGAGAGAGAGAGAGGCAGCAGGCCGGCCCACACCAGCCAAGCCCAGCCACCTGCTCTGTGTGCTCCACATGCCTGCTCAGGTTGGAGGACTGTGAGCCTCTGTGATTTCCTTTCTCCATAAATGAAAGTAGCCGAGCACGGTGACAGACACCTGTAACCCCAGTACTCGGGAGGTGGAAGCAGGAAGATCAGGAGTTCAAGGGCATTTCAGCTACACGAAATTGTCTCATAAAAGAAAGAAAAAAATGAAACCATATTTTCTCCCCATATTTGTGGAAAGACAAACACACCCGGGCTGGGGCATTTTAGACATGCATTCATGAAATGTACATTTCTTTATCTGACTTTAAAAGACATTTGCTAGAGGTAGAGGTATATGCCTTTAATCCCAAAATTTGGTAGACAAGATCTCGGTGAGTCTGAGGCCAGCTTAGTCTACATGGTGAGTTCCAGGATAGCCAGGGCTACATAGTGAGACTATCTCTCAAGAAAAAAGAGAAGACATTTAAGAAGAACATTCTGGGGGTCCCTGAGAGCACTAGGGCTCAGACTTGTAACCACAAAACCTACGGATGGGTAGCCTGGGCTCCCCAGGCTTCTACTATGCAAGCCCAGCCCAACACTTCCTTTAAAACAACTTTATCCACTTATTTATCAATTTAGGTTTTATATGATTTTTTTTTTTTTTTTTTTTTCAGTTCGGACGAACCTTGAACTTGTAACTCTCTTCCCTCTGCCTCCTGAGTGCTGGGCTAAGAGCTCGGCATCGTCATACTTGGACAAAGTGCTCAGAGAGAGTCGTTACTAAATTCAGGTTGACCCCTGTGTCCAGGCTGAGCAAGTCCAGTGTGTGCCCCCCTCCAGACTCTCTGCACCTGCAACCTCCAGAGCCCTGCAGAGCCCGCTCCACTGAGCCCCAGGCTCCTGTTCCCTCAGCAGTGACTGGAAGAAGCCTCACATCTTTTGTTGGGTCCCACTGACTTTATTAACAACTTGGATGTGTCCCTGGGTTTGAAATCTGGCCGCCATCTTCATTATCATGCTTCCTCCAATAGCCAGAAACCCTATGGCACCATGAGTGAGGCCAAGGCCAGCAGCTGGGTGGCCCTCCCTCCTTAAGCCTGCCAACATCCCTCCCTGCTGGAATCCCTCCCAAAAGAGGATCAGTAAAATCTGACCCTAAGGCTGGAGGGGTTGCTAAGTGGTTAGAGCATTGGCTGCTCTTCCAGAGAGCGTAGCACTAAGTACCCATATGGCAGCTCACAGCCATCTGTCACTCCAGTTCCAGCCAGGAGACCCAATTCCCTCTTCTGGCCTCTGCAGGCACCGCATGCCTGTGGTGCATATACATACATGCAGGCAAACACATAAAATAAAATACATAAATCACGAAATAAAGCAAAAAAATCTGATCCTGGACCATTCAATCCTTACCCTTGACTTTTTCAACCTGACCCTAGATGACCAAATCCTGATCCTTGACCTTCCTAACCTGAACTTTGAATTTCCCAACCTGACCCTAGACCATCCACCTCTGACCCCCAACCTCCCCAAACTGACTTTGACCTCTCATACCTAGTTCTTGACTTTTCTGACTTGGGCCATAAATCATCCATGTCTGCCCGTCGTAGCTCAGAAGGTGCCTATCCCTCATCTTGTACAGGTGTGGGTTCACCTCTTTGGCCGTCTTCATTCCCAGAGCCTTGGCGATATGCAAGGCCTTTTGAGGCCCATTGTCCTCGAGGAATCTGAAGACTCTTTCATCTGCAAGGGGAGGGGCAGGCACTTAGTAGGAAGAGGTCCCTGTGTTTGCATCTGTCCACCACACCGGCTGTAGCCTGGGACACTTATGGAGCCCAGGGGCATGGTCCTGTTTTGTCAGAGGCACATGGTCATACCGAGTACAGTGGTCATCTGGAGACCAGATGTGTGAATAAGGCTCTCACTCTAGAGGCTGGCTCAGGCTGGCACAGGTGTGTCAGCATCTGGAAGATAAACACTTCTTGGCTGTTTAGAGCCTTTGGCTTCTAACAGTGAGTCTGGCCTCTGAGACTCTTGCAGAGCCTCAGGGATGGACATGACCCCAAACACCCATTCCCCTTGTGCCCCTGAGGAGAGTTTGGGGGGCCTATGGTGTGCACTGAACTGAAGGCCAGGGCTCTTAGCAGCTGTGCCTATATCTTGTTAGGGTCTTGGGGCTGGAGGAAAAAAGATGTACCCCTTGGAGACAGGAGATGCTCCGCTCCACAGAGCACAGGGAACACTTCCACAGGAGAGCTAGGGGACAGGACATTAGGCTGGGGTCCTAGGGTTTCCCATGTGCTTGGGTCACAGCTGCTGGCTGCCAAAGGGTGGGGTCTTGAGGCTGCTTCCTTTCCTGTCTCCAGCTTCGGGGGTGAGTCAAGCCAAGGTGGCCTTGGGTACAGCATCAGTGCTTGGAACTGTGGGCCCTCTCTGCTCAACAGCCATCAAAGTCACCTGAGGGCTCTGAGTGAATCCTTGCCATCAGCATTCACTGTCATTGTGACAATTGCCTAGACTGTGTCTTTACTATTGCTAGTATCTGTTACACACCTACTTACACACCTACCATGCACAAGCCCTAGGCTCTACATTAGCTCCATTGGCAAGAAGAAATGAAGAGGCCAAGAGAGGATGGCAGCGCTCAGATGAACCTGGACTTGCCCATTGCCAAGACGGCTCTTGAAGGGAGTCTGCTGTGCCCCTAAATGACAGATTACCGAGGCTAGGATGGGCAGTGGGGTCTTCAGGGACTGCAGGAACCTCATCTCCAGGAGCATCCCTCCCTAAGCACCATGTTGCAGGGGCTGCTAAGGATACTTTGCCCTCCTCCTTCAGGTGGTAAAGGACTTTGTTGAGTGTTTTCTTGGGCACGTGGCACTTCTTTACCAGCTGGGCAATCTTCACAGGGCTCCTGGCTTCACTCAGCACCTGTAGGATCTTTTGCTCCAGATTTTCTTGGGCGGGGGACAAAGAGAAGAGCTGAGTCAAGCCATGTCCCCATGGGAGGCTAGCATCCAAGCTCCAGAGACAAGAAAGATCTGAGAGCCCAGAGCAGAGGAGGCACCCATGACCCAGGCCAAGCAGACAGCATTGAGGGCATCACTCAGAGGCAAGAGTGTCAGTTAGAGTGGCCTCTGGCTCCACAGTTGGATGGTTATATGGCAGAGGAGTGCGTAGGCTGTCCTGTGTACTGATGTGGAACCCCAGACAGGTAGGAACCCTTAGCTCTCAGATGATGGAGCAGGAGGGAGAGCAAGCCTGGCCCAGAAGCCCCTCCATGGTGCCTGATGCCTCTCCCAGCCTGCCTAGGGAGTTCCTTTCTCTCCAACTCGGCACCCACATGGATGGCATGGATATTCCCAGGTCAGAAGCCCAATGGACACAGGTCTCCCTTCCCATGCCTGATGGATTACAGCCCTGAAAACCCAGCTTAGATATCTCCCACTTCCTTTTCTCCCCTACCCTGCCTCAGTGCCATCTTCCTGATGACACTACTCATCTCCCAGGTGACCACCAACTCCAGAAGGGTTCCCTCCAGCACCCTCTACCTAGAGGTCAGATGGACCTCTGCTGTCTACCCAGACTCCTCTGTGCCTGACCCCAGGGGTCACCCACCTCATGCTCCTTTTGGCTCCTTCTGTCTGCCCTCTCATCCATGTGCCTGCTTTTACCTCTCTTTTTTCCTCTTGAGACAAAGTCTCACCACATATCTCAGGCTGGCCTGAAACTCACAGCAATCCTCCTGTCTCAGCAATGCCCCCTGGGATTATAGGACTGAGCTTCCATTCCTGGCTTGGCTTTGCCTTGTCTTGCAAAACCTTTTCTCTGCTGGAGTGTGTGCCCTGAAGTGGGCTCTCTTGCCCTCCCTTCCCCCACTGGCCCCTAAGGGCACATGGGCAGAGCTTTCTCCAAAGGGTGAGCTTGAAGGGCTGGACTGAGGTGACTGGCTAGCAAGGGTACTATTAGGAAGCCACAGGGGCCAGGTGAGGGTTAGTTCCTGGTCTTCTCTGCCCTGGCCCTGAACCTGCCACCTGGCCTGGCCCCTCCCTGAAACCTTTTGAGCAACAACCTCTAGCATGGTGTGAGGATTGAAAGAAGTGATTTTGGGGGCTGGAGAGATGACTCCAGAGGTTAAGAGCACTGACTGGCATGCAGGCACACATGCAGGCAGATGCATAATAAATTAACAATTTTTTTTTAAGTTTCAAAACAAGGAAGAAAAGCAGTAAAGTAAATCCTGCCCATAGGTACACAGCCTCGCCTAGCACAACCCCAAAGCCTCACACAGCCCACAGCCTCACACAGCCCACAGCCTCGCACAGCCCCACAGCCTCGCACAGCCCCACAGCCTTGCACAGCCCCACAGCCTCGCACAGCCCCACAGCCTCGCACAGCCCACAGCCTCACACAGCCCACAGCCTCGCACAGCCCACAGCCTCGCACAGCCCCACAGCCTCGCACAGCCCCACAGCCTCGCACAGCCCCACAGCCTCGCACAGCCCCATAGCCTCGCACAGCCCCACAGCCTCGCACAGCCCCATAGCCTCGCACAGCCCATAGCCTCGCACAGCCCACAGCCTCGCACAGCCCACAGCCTCACACAGCCCACAGCCTCACAGCCTCGCACAGCCCCACAGCCTCACACAGCCCCACAGCCTCACACAGCCTCGCACAGCCCACAGCCTCGCACAGCCCACAGCCTCGCACAGCCCACAGCCTCGCACAGCCCCACAGCCTCGCACAGCCCACAGCCTCGCACAGCCCCACAGCCTCGCACAGCCCACAGCCTCGCACAGCCCCACAGCCTCGCACAGCCCCACAGCCTCGCACAGCCCCACAGCCTCGCACAGCCCCACAGCCTCGCACAGCCCCACAGCCTCGCACAGCCCCATAGCCTCGCACAGCCCCACAGCCTCGCACAGCCCCATAGCCTCGCACAGCCCCACAGCCTCGCACAGCCCCACAGCCTCGCACAGCCCCACAGCCTCGCACAGCCCACAGCCTCGCACAGCCCCACAGCCTCGCACAGCCCCACAGCCTCGCACAGCCCCACAGCCTCGCACAGCCCCACAGCCTCGCACAGCCCCACAGCCTCGCACAGCCCCACAGCCTCGCACAGCCCCACAGCCTCGCACAGCCCCACAGCCTCGCACAGCCCCACAGCCTCGCACAGCCCCACAGCCTCGCACAGCCCCACAGCCTCGCACAGCCCCATAGCCTCGCACAGCCCATAGCCTCGCACAGCCCACAGCCTCGCACAGCCCATAGCCTCGCACAGCCCACAGCCTCGCACAGCCCACAGCCTCACACAGCCCACAGCCTCACAGCCTCGCACAGCCCCACAGCCTCACACAGCCCCACAGCCTCACACAGCCTCGCACAGCCCACAGCCTCGCACAGCCCACAGCCTCGCACAGCCCACAGCCTCGCACAGCCCACAGCCTCGCACAGCCCACAGCCTCGCACAGCCCCACAGCCTCGCACAGCCCACAGCCTCGCACAGCCCCACAGCCTCGCACAGCCCATAGCCTCGCACAGCCCCACAGCTCGGCACCAGGGAGAAAAGCACGAACACAGAATCAGAGCCAAACTTCTTATCAAAACGAAGTCACCTCTCAGAGTTCAGTGCCTGAAGCCTGTCATAGGCCTTAGTGCCCTCTTCTATGAGGCGAGAGCTACCACTTTTGCCTGAGGGCTGTTATGAACCAGGTCAGGGGTCAAAGCATGATGTGAGGGATCTAGGGCACAGGATCCCTGAAGCAAGCTGGCTTCCTGTGATGCCCTCTTCTTGAGCTCTGATGTCCCCAGAGTACTGCTGCTGTCTGGGCCAAGGAAAGAACTAGAAGGAGCCATAGAAACCACACTCAGGACCAATGCTGCTCCGGGGAGGGAAGAGGCCCAGCTTACCTCCTGTGCTCAGGTCAGCAGCAGCTTCTGCCATGCTCACAGCAACCTCAGGGCACCTTTGAGGCTGGGGGGTGGCAGGTTCCTACACTGTGGCCAGGCCTGAGGCTGAGTCCACAGGAAAAGAATGACTTCTGGGACCTGCAGACACCATCTGTTTCTACCCCGGAAACAAGCACCCATCTGGGTCCATCCACCCAGCTTTCTGGGGAAATCGAAAATGAAACTTTGGTGTGTTTCTCGAAAGAAATGTTGAAATCAGGGTGGAAGAGCAAGTTGGAGCTGAATTATGTGACATGGAAGAGAGGAGTGTTGGCCTCTGGGGTAGGACTCTTGGACTCCCACTTGGAGAGCAAGACCTTGAAGAGAGTCGCATGAGAGCCCCCGTAAGGGTGAAGACGGTGATCTAGGAAAAGGCTACTGTGAGTCCCCTACTTGCCCACAGGGCAGAGCTAGTACTGTCTATCCACATACCTTCTAGAAAAAGAGTCCCCCATTTTCATAAATTCTCAGAAGAACTGTTCCTTAAACAGTTCAGACATCACTCTGTTCCAATTACAGGTGAAGGGATCGAGCTCACAGAGATGGCCTTGTGCCCACAACTCAAACTACAATATCCCTGAATCTGGGTCCCAGCCGCAGGTGGGAGGTGGGGTGCAGAGGGCAGGACCTTGGCACCCCTGTAGCACTGGTGCACAGGGCAGGACAGGAACAGTGAACGGAGACCAGAAGGAGGTATAGACGTGCCTGCAAAATGTCTGCAAAGCAAGCAGTAGGTAGCAGGTCCCCAGCCAGCCTCACCTTACAGAATTTGAAAGTCAATGGACAGGCCATGACCAGGCCAGTTCCACAGACAATTTCATGGGCCTGTGCATGGGGAAACTTTAAAATTTCCAAGTGATTTTTATGACTTCCAGGGGGGAAACCAGAGCCTGAAGAAGCAGCCAAGGAAAACAGCAAACTGCACTGCCCGTTGTGGCCCAAAATAAATAAGGTCATCTTTTTTTTTTTTTTTTTTTTTTTTTTTGGTTTTTCGAGACAGGGTTTCTCTGTGTAGCTTTGCGCCTTTCCTGGGACTCACTTGGTAGCCCAGGCTGGCCTCGAACTCACAGAGATCCGCCTGGTTCTGCCTCCCGAGTGCTGGGATTAAAGGTGTGCACCACCACCGCCCGGCAAGGTCATCTTTTTTTTTTTTTTAAACGCTCTCAGATGAGCTGGGTGAGAGACATCACTTAGACTCCCTAGAGGGGCTATTTGGAGACCGACCACCAGGTGGCGCCTGCTCATCAACCGGCTCTTGCCCGGGGGTCTTGTTCCGTCCCTGGCCAGGGTGGCCTTGGCCTTACAGCACTGGGTTTTAGGACATGCCTGCCCTCCTGGTCTCTTTCGTCAGCATCCTTTATTTCCTTGTGTTAGCTGTCCTAAAGGGACCAGAGCCTAGGCCAGTGGCTCTCAATCTTCCTAATGCTGCGACCTTTCATACAGTTCCTCATGCTGTGTGACCCCCAACCATAAAATTATTTTCCTAGCTACTTCATAACTGTAGTTTTGCTACTGTTATGAATGGTAATGTAAAATCTGTGTTTTCTGCTGGTCTTAGGCCACCCTGTGAAAGGGCTGATTGACCCCGAGGGGTCGCGACCCGCATGTTGAGAAACGCTGGCCTAGGTGGGTTTTTCTGCTTGTTGTTCGTTTGTTTTTGTTTTTGTCCAGCCCTAGGAGTCAGATCCCCACTGGGCCTCGTTCCCCCAGCTCTGCTCTTGCTTGGTGAGGGACTCCGCATGCTGACACCCCTGGTATGCAGCAGACCTGGCAGGGACTTAGGGTTACCTGTTTTGTCCAGGACTCATACATGCTGACAATGTGTGGATGGCCCCTCCCTTCCTGTCTCTGAGGTCCTCATCATGAAGTCACACCATGCCTCATTGTGTTTCTCGGAGATGTTTCTGGGAAACAGCAGCAGGATCCATAGTGGGGTGGGGTGGGAAGCCCAGGAAAAGGGATGAGCTGGGACCTGCCCCTCAGTTGCTCTGGGTATCTGAGCCTCGGTTCCTTTAACTCGAAAAACAGAGATAACAAGCAAGAAAAGGCATGCTAACCCACGCCCTGCGTGTGCTCACAAAATTTGCATGAGCAAAAAATAGATTTGGTGCCTCTCCACAGCCGGACTGCAGGCTCCAGACAAAGGCGAATGCTCTCGCGCAGGAAACAGGAGAGGGAACGAAGCCTAGGTCCATGGGCGCTCCAGCCTTCCTGGCATTCCACCAAGGCAGAACCTGACACTGGAGCTCTGTCATAAACACCTCAGCATTCACTATTCTTTTTTCTCTCGAATCGTTGAGACAGAGTCCCACTCCGTAGCCAAGCCTGACTTCGGATTCTCGATCCTCCTGCCGTCACCTCTGGAGTGCCAAGACTGCATCATAATGCCTACTGGAAGTCACTTCTTCCTCGTCTTCCTCCTCCTCCTCCTCCTCCTCCTCTTCTTCTTCTTTTAGGTTTTTTTGTTTTGTTTTGTTTTGTTTTAACAGGGTTTCTCTAGTAGCCCTGGCTGTCCTGGAACTCGCTCTGTAGAACAGGCTGGCTTTGAACTCACAGAGATCCACCTGCCTCTGCCTCTTGATTGATAGGATTAAAGGCATGTGTAGCTGTCGCCTGGCCAGAATTCTTACTTCTAAAGGTTTGGATTATCTTGTATTCTTTGTCTTTGTTTAAGAAAAATTTCAAGTTGATTTGCCACACTTGGATTACCCCTAGCCTCCACAGCAGAAGACTAGGCAGATGCACCTTTCTTTCTCGTGTGTGCAACAGGTGGGCAGCACCCCAGGTTTGGTGCAGTTGTCCAGCTTCTTCTTAAACTGTGGCTCTGCCGTTGGGGACTTCTGTGCTTGGGCTTGCCTTAAGGTTTAGGAGGGCTGCTGGAGTTCCACCTATCACATGTGCACTCCTTCCCACAGGAAAGAGTAAAGGGCAGGTGTCCTAGGCAGCTTCAGCTGTCAACTGAATGCAGTTACCTGAGGGAGTGTCAGTCGGGGGTCTGCCCAGTTCTGATTGGCTGTGGACATGTCTGTGAGAAAGTATCATGACTGATGATTGATGGGAGAGGACCCAGACTACTGCAGGAGGCATCGTACCTAGGCTGGTTGTCCTGGGCGGTATATAAAAAGCTGGCTGAGCATGAGTCAGGAAACAGCACCCTCTGTGGTCTGTGCTTCAGGTTCTACCATCACTTCTCTCTGGGAGGGCAGTGAAGTGTGAGCCCAAATAAACCCTTTCCTCTCTAGATGTTTTTTGTTTGTTTTGTTTTTGTCAGAATGTTTACCACAGTAGCAGAACTAAACAGATACAGCAGACATCCCTCTTTAAAGAACACATCTTGCAGGCCCCACATACTTTCCACTTATATCCTAACAGACAGCACTTAGTCATATGGTCCTGACATCCACAAAATGATGGGAAAGGTGGTCTGTATTCTGGATCACCGTGTGTCCGGATAAAATTGGGGTCACGCTGCTTCAGATTACAACAATGTCTATCACAACAGATATTGGCAGAGGCCTAGGTGTCCTTGCCAACTCAAGGCTCTTCCTCAAAGTCAGGGCAAGGACATGTGCCTTTGTGTCTGCATCAAGGCCATCCTCTGCCACACCAGGCAGTTCCCAGCCTCTTTCTCTAGCAGATGCTACACTGAGTTTAATGAAGCTGCATTCTCAGAGCCTCTGGTGGGGTTCAAGGCCAATGGGAGAGGAAGGGAAGGAGGGAGGGAGGGAGGAAGGAAGGAAGGGAGGGAGGAGGGAGGGAGGGAAAGGAGGGAGGCGCTTCCTCCTCCAGGCTAGGAAGGGCTCAGAGATGGAAGATGACATGCTAAGCTGGTCTCTTTTTATCCTGGAGAGCACACTCCTTCCAAATGGCTCGTGTTTTTCTAGAAACTATTAGAAATCCCCGCCCAAAGCAGGGGATAATTACATGTTACTGATCTCAACTCTTCAGGTTTTGTGATCTCTCTTTTAAAAGAGATATATTTTTACCACATATGGTGTTGGCAAAACCCATCTCCTTCCCTCCCCATAACCAGACTCTGGTGAAGAAGGAAGGCTACGAGCCAGGTTTGGTCAGAGACCAGGCGTGGCTGGTGATTGCAAGGGGATCGCCAGGTGTCTCTGGTCCTTGCCTAGAGCAAAGAAAAAAGATCTTCTATGGCAGGTGTGTTGGGGTGACAAGCCCCCTCTTCAAGTCCCTGGGGTGTGGGTCCTATAAGACAGAGCGATCAGTGGGCCTCAGTGTCTCCCTCCATCTACTGGAGTTGGGCATCTCCACTTCTTGGCCCTGGGCCTTGAACAAAACCCTCCTCTTTATGGGTCTGTTTTCCCTTTGACAGTGGGATCCACAGTTCTTAACCTGGGCCTGGCTGCATCAGAGGTCCCTTCCGAGAGCTAAGGATGTCATGCAGACCTTCTTGTCACTGTGCCCAGCCGTCTCTCTGTGCTGACAAAGCCACATTTGTCTGGTTATTTGCCAGTTTAGACAGCTGGTTTGTGTCAGTGGTGTGTGATGCCCTGGGGTTGGAAGGCCAGGCCCCCACTCAGGCTCTCAGAGAAACAATTTCCCTGGGAATCATAAAAGGGCTGGAGAAGGCCTCTTCCTCGTGAGCTAGGAATAGGGAAAGGTGGCCTATCTTGACTGTAGGGATAGCCCATCTGAAGGACGTGGGCCAGAGGACAGGGAAGGCGGCCATGGGCCAGCTGTAGTGTCTGGGGGAGGCTTTATCCCCTCCCTTCCCACTGATCAAAGTGTTTTAGGAACCCTTTTCCACATTTCCCACACCCAGACAACTAACTGCCCTGGGCTCGATTCACACTGGCTTTGAATTTTATAGTCGCAACATCATGCTTTATTTATTTCAATTTCTTGTTTTGTTTTGAGACCAGGCCCCTCTCTTCTCCGGTCTGTCCTCAGCTTTGCAGGAAATCTTCTGCCACAGCTTCCAGAGCACTGGGATTACAGGCACACAGGCTGGACGTCCTGTGTGGTGTGTGT